CCCTCGCACCTCCGCCCGCGCCCTGAGAGAGCCGGGACCCTCCTCGCAGCCACAGAAACCCGGCCCCGCTCTGCGCCTTAAAAAAGTCCGAAGTAGCGTTTGATTTCAACATTTCCTTACCGCTTTAAAAAACTGCCTCAGCAAAGCAGGGTCACGTATTCTTACAGAGACCATATAAATAGAAAGCACTCCTGGGAGGAAAAAAATGAATTCAGCACTAGTTCCATTCAAAGCAACGATGCAGTATTTGTTACGTCTTTCTCGAGTGCAGCCAGGCACACATCCAAGGCGTGCAGTTACCCATTTTGCACATTTCTCTAACACAAATTCAGCTTAATGCCGCTGAGTAGGCTGCGCAAAACGAGCTTTCTGGGGACACAAACACTATTAATCCCTGCAGATCGTACATACATTAGATCAAACATGGTAAACTTTTATTTTTTTTGCATTACAGGCAACATTAAATGCTCTAGAAGGTCATATTTTTGATCCTGTCCACTAAAAAGAGAAGGAGCATCAAGAAAACAGGTGTTCAGCCTATAAAATAGAGTTCCTAAATGTCAGTCTAAGAAAAATATTAGCAAACAGTACCTTTACATTTACTTCAATGGGGCAATCTACAATTGAAAATCTTGCCTGTGCCTAGGAATTTGCAGATTGTGGTTTTAGTTTCTTTTCATTCTCTATAAAACACTTCCATGGCATGTAACAAAACCTTTTATCAATATTGGCCATGTTATGCAAGATACATTCACAAAAGCAATAGAAATGTGCAAACTATTGTGTATTCTCTTGGAGCCTCCTCTAACAGGTACAACCGCAACCACTACTATGACACACCCTGAAAGAAGTGCAGAAGGCAACAGTGCCTTAAAAAAGGAAACAAACCAGAAGCAACCAGGTTGGCTGGTTTACTGCACCATTATTAATTACCACAGCTAAACAAATGCTTGAACCCAGACTCAATAAAGACACTTGGGCTTCATAGATCTCTTTTGGGTTCATTGGTTTATTTACTTCTTAGCAAGAAACACTGATGAGCTGAAGTCAGATACTGGAACTGATTATGAACAAGAAAAATAGCCATTTTAACCCCCAAGGAGAGAAACAGAAGGAAGGTCATTGCTGTAGTTTGCATTTGCTTTCAACAGCAAATTGCAGACTAACTATACATACACATATATATATATATACACACATATATATATATACACCCACTATGGAGTTTGAATGTGGTGAAACAATGACCAATTTGCATGAGTGTAAGTACACTACTGATGTAACATTCTAAATCAATATACAATCTTTCAAAACTTTCACAAATCTCAAAGTTTACCCCAGAATGAAGGCTGCATTGAAAAAAACTTCGAATTATGTTTTTCAGACATGCTAAGAGGTGAGTTGAGCAGCTACACCTGCCCTGCAGGGAACTCTTTTTATCTCCCTCCAGAGCCAGGCTGGTGTCCCAGCCTTAGAACACCAGCTTGCTTCCCCTGGCCAGTCAGATCCCTCCTAGATGCCCCCTCTTTCCCCTTTCACAATACATCACTTTTCAATATTTACTAGTTTTACCACTTTCCTGCCAGCCCACAGCCCCCACTGTGATAATCTACACAAACATTAACCCAAACAGGCTCCCCCTCCACCACCACCACCCCTTTTCTCCTGCTGAACCTGCCCTGACTCCCCATAACATGTTAAACTAAAAAGCCCTGTCCAACTTCTGTGTCAGAGCACTTTCACTCACCTACAGGACGGTCACACCTCTTTCTTTCAAGGGGGGCTCACACCTTCGTACTCTTTGGCTCTGACCAGTAACACAACCACACTGACTGGCAGAAAATACTTCTTAACTCATTCCACAAGGCTTTTCTTCAACTGGTGAGCCTCTTGTGCTGTGCACTGATCCTGGAAATAGTGGGACTAGTTGAAGGGTCTTGCTACAGAGACTATGCCAGTAGAAGGTAGAAGGCTTTCAGCAATTGTTTTGCTTTTTCTACTTTCTCCTGGCAGGAAAGCAAGTCTAAATCCTCTTGTTAGAAACAAATGAGAGCAACTGCATTAATTTTATACAAAAGTTAGAGTAGAGCAGAAAATACTGCTTAAAAGAAAACAGTACTCAAAAATCTTGGTCACGTTCATTACAGTAAGATTTTAAACATAGCTGACTTGATCTTTTTTTTAGCTATGTAACAAAATTTATACAGCTGCTCAGTATTTTCAACGATCTGAAGCTGAAGTTCATCTGCCCTTTCTCTTGATATACAACAATGAATCCAGTAGTAGCAAGATTCCTCCAACAATAGATTATTATGAGGCATCATTTTTCATGCCACATAGTCCCCACATATTTAATAGGACTATATGTTATGAATAATACAACTGCCAAACTGATATGACATTATCTACTATCAGCACTGTGTGATCTGTGAAGGCAGAATGCCCAGAGACCATTAACACATCTCAAGTGAATTGCCAGTCTTCACATGCTGATGAGCTGCATTACTGTCCAATCCCAAGTAAAACATTAAATCTCAACTGATTAACTTAAAATGACAAAACTACAAACTAAATATTTGTAATTTTTTATTTTTACCTTTACTATCAAACTCAGCTGGCAGAAAATGTAAAATTGCATATACTTTCCAAACTTTGAGACAAAAAAATAAATACAAGTAAAAAAAGCAGTAAAAGCTGTCATATTTTAAATTACAGCTTTTAAAGTTATTATGAATGAGGTTCTAAAATGGTTTTAATGCCCTTCTGTGTAGCAAAAATTGAGACAGCACAGCACCTGTATGAATGTATCTAAAGCTTATTTCAAATCCATTATCAATTAAGAGGTACCACTTTTAGATGTCATCACATGAAATACTTCCTGGGAAGATAAAGTCAATTTTCTTGTAAAAGATAAGCAAAAGAGGCTTTGATCAGTGACCAAGCTTCTTCAAAACATCAGTCTGCTTAGTCTTTGGGCAACTTCATGTCAGAAGCTGTGGCAAATGCTCTGATCTCCAAAGGTTGCTCTGTCCTGTGAGACTTTCAGACACCCTTCTGTTTCAGACCCTTACTGCCTACTTTGAAACTCTCCACAAGAGAACTCATAACTCTGCAGGCCATTTGAAAGGTTCAGCTGGTAAATACACCAAGGCCTTTTTGCATCCTTAATTTGCAGTGAAGTTTCTCTCCTGTAGACTTGAGGCCAGTGAAAGGAAAACAGCTTAAATTCCTGTTTCAAATTAAACAGTGACAGTGGTAATATGGTTATCCAGAGTGTATCCTCTAGGACACCACCTGCAGCAAGAGGAGTAAATAATGTCTTGGCTATCTTCTCTCTCTCTAGCTGTGCCATTGCCAGGGTGAAACCACCACCACATAAAGGTGTAGTATCAGGCACATGGTGCAGAGCTGCCTTCAGCAGAGTGATTTGAACAGAATCAGGTTCAGAGCTGTGTCTGGGAGCAGTGCAACACTGCTGGCTCAGCCCAGCAAAACCTCCAGGGTATCAAGAGAACCTAAGTCAAGGAGCCTTCAACTCCCCAAAAGGGCAACGGGTGGACATTATACCCAGGCAAATGTTGATGAAATTAAACTCCCTCAGTGAGACCAAAGTGTAGAATACCAGCCACTGAGGCACAAACTTCTGCCCACAGTGCCACACTTAAAGCCTTTCTGCTTGGCCTTGGACAGAGAACCTTCTTGCTAATGAGCATTTTCCTTAGCAGTGACTTTTTGATGACAGAGGAAAATCCCAAGCTGAATGCAGGTGTTAAAGCAAAGCAATTGTTTCACATATCCTGTAACTGCAGAATCTTACCTTACAGCAGAAGAAGCAGTGGAGGGAATCTCATCAAGGGACTTTATACTGGAGTCTTGGCACTACAGCCTGGCATATTACTAGAAATCAGCAGATACACTTGCTTCTTCTTTTAAGGGTTCACATTGAAGAAGGTTAAGGAGAATTGGAAAGATACCCAGAGAAAAGACAATTGCCAAGATGTAGCACAGGTTGAAAGGCAGAATGTAGCAGAAGAATAAGAAAAATGGCACATTAAGCTAGGGCTGACAAGTAAATGAGATGGGATTTAAACTCAGCTAGAGGAGATGCTCCACCTCAGGGTACATGATTGAAGGAAACTGAGGAAATGGTGTATGATTTGACCTTCTGTGTATCAGCACAAGAAAATGAAGTTTTTCACCCCTCTTTTAATGATGTTAAATCCAGAAACATTTCTTATCTCCAGTGTCTGTGGAATAAAAATCACCCACAGCTTGAACTTGATATTATTCTGAAATTAAAATGTTTAATCATTTTACATTTTGGAAGCTGATTTACACATAATCCTGAGAAAATTACAGTAATTTTAGAAACAAGCAAATATATAAGAATAATTAACTACACATTTCTTTAATTAATTTATTTGTTTCAAAAATACAAAACTAATTTATAGCTTCAAAAATAGATTTTTTACTCCCTTTTAGCTAATAATAATGATATTTAAAAATGGCCTTGAAGATACTAACAGTACAGATTTTTACAAGTTAGATAGCATACCTGGAACTAGTTTTAACGTATCTGTGCTGGCCACACCAGATAAGATTGCTTTTGGTCTATAAAATTTTTAAAAATGGAGTTACAAGCTAGCTACAAAGTATCAGCTACAAAAATCCTGAATTTTTTAAATGGAGTGTTGAAAGCATATTTGCTTTTGTATTTCATTTTGCTCTAGTGCACAAATAATGTGATCACAGCGCCTAGCGTCAACCAAAAGGTGGTAACAGGCTACTACCAAAACAACATCTTTGTACACAACTGAATTCCTCACAACCCAGCCCCAACAATCATTTTGTTTCTTAGCAATGCCTAGGGGAATAAATGTGCCTTTTACCCTTCCTTGATGATTAACATACCCAAGATTTTAAAGATCTAAAGGGAGGCTAGTTGCTCAGTAGAAATCCCATCACAGTTAAAACAGCCCATGTGCAGTACATGGCAGGATTTGAGCAGCTGGGCCACCCAAAGGAGGTCACTGAAGGGACACAAATGCTGCAGCTGGATCACAGCTGCCACAGGGATGATGGGAAGGTTCATTACAGTATGGTAAGTAATCCAGCAGCAGGGGGGTAACTGAAATATCACACAACTTAAAATACACCATCACAAATTCCAGTTATGGTTTTTAACTGTCCTGTTAATGTCAAGATTTAATAAAATATGAATTAAACCATTTTAATTCTTCTAAAAATTAAAATTCCAATTTCTACCAGTGTGGCGAGTGTTTCATTGCTTGCAGCCATGCATCCATAGCAGGTTTGTATTCCTCTGAATCCTTTTGGGGCTCAAACACTGCTTCTACTCGCCTTAGCTTCTTTAGTTGTTCTTTGTCAGTCCAAAATCCTATAAACAGAAAATTCATTCTCCAGCTCAACTACAAATACGTTATTTTTGAGTTGTTTTAATCTATTTCCAAAAGATCCAAAGCAGAAACACAGTAAGAAATAATGACAGCTTTTCTTTACCAACAACTTTCTCAGAGGGAAGCATATTTTTAATATTGTGAAAATCCTTTCCAATAGGATCCACTTGTTTGGAATCCTGACAACAGTGCATCTGCTTAACTGGGATGGTTTCCAAGGAACAGCTCTGGTACACTGAAGTTCCCTTAGGTTTCATCCACAAAGTGCTTTTGGTTACAGGTTCTTCTCAACAAAGAAGGGCCCCAGAAACCAAGATTTATCTGCTTTCCTACTGTCTTAAAAATTGTATAAATGGCAAGAAACAGATTCCTATTAATTTATGTTATTAAATCACTCTTGGCTGTCAAGGGTCTCGACTTTCTTGCACTCTTAATTGCTGAATAAGTCTTACCCAAGCATATAGTTTTTACCTCCATTTGTGTTATTTACATTTCAAAGCACTTCAACAAAAACATCTTTTGTAGGTGCATATTTAACAAAACAATCAACAGTTTGTAGCTTTCAATCTGGGTAACAATATGAAACAATTCTGTGTAAGTAGAGCTGGTTTTCCTGTTAATAATTTATTTTGTACTTCATTCCTGTGAAAGCCTCAAAGGATAAAGGCTGTGTTCACAGAGCACAGGACACAGCTTCAGTGGGTGTGACAGAGCTGCAGGTAAGCACGGTGGCTCCCTGGCCACATGGCCCAGCCCCAGCCAGCACCACTCAGGCAGCACCAGTATGGGAATGGACATGGAGTGCCTGAGTCAAGGAAAGAGGAGGCAGCAAGAACAAGATTCACCTTTCTTCTCTAGCAATACATCCTTCTAATTGTACTGTACAGAGAAACATAAACACTATTTACCTTAGATTGCCACAAAAATGGCTACAGTAATCCTTTGGAATTACAATTATTTGACGTTATGCCCTTTTTTTTGTCTGTTCTCTTTTCTATCGTATTTATAACATGCATGATAAAGGGGAAAAAAGCCTTTGTAATGTCTACGTACCTGAAGCAAGGCCTGCTAGAAAAGCTGCACCAAGACTAGACATGTCCACGTTTGCAGGTTTTTCTATTTTCTTATTAATTAAATCTGATGTCATCTGCATGACAAAACTATTATTACTGACACCTCCATCAGCTCTATAGGGAGAAGGGAAGAAGTAGTTAAAAAAAATGTGTTAAGTGCTTATTGCCAGCATTTCAGAAAACAACATTTGATATTTCACACTTATGCATAAATCTTCCTGTCACTCATGCACAAATGCATTTCCTCTTTATCGGTAAATTTAGAGAACAGAACAAGGTGCCAAAAAAAAAAACAACAAAAAAAACAAAGTTTATAAACTCAGAGAGGAATGGTAGACAGACATGGACATAGGTCACTATCAAAAGCTCTTGAAGTTCTGTCTTTTAAAACTATGCATAACCTTGGCTGAAATGTTATGGTTTATAATAGAACCTTTACATAGTTACCACCACAATATGACAACAATCAAAACCATTACACCAAACAAACCCTTTCATATGTTCTCAGATCTAGAAAAGTACCTTTTTCCTTACTACCAAATCTTGGTATTAGTTAGCTAAAATGCCTTCACAGTTGCTTCTTTTTAAGAGGAAGTTCAGAATGAGGCTTCCATCTGTCTGTTTTCCTAATTTGAGACCAATTTAATGGAGAAAACAAGAACTTATCAGTGCTGAACTTTAATCATCTGAGATTTCAAAGTAATTACTCTTGCAAACAAAATAACTAAAACAAAAAGCAATCTTTGAGATGTCCTAGATAGGTTCATTATGCTCTTGTATTCCAATACCAGCCATGTATGGAGCTGTTGCTCCATCAAATGTGGTGCAGAGAAGACATCTAGTGTTTATTGCTATAGAAAGTGCTGGGTAATAAAACTCGTTAGTTATAGTTGACTAAAGCTGAGGGCTCTTTCTCTGTGCTTTTCTTGATGGTGTTGAGACAAACAAATAGAAATAACAGGAATCTACAGAGGACTAATGAAAACAATGCCAGGAGACCAGGAAGAAACAAGGAATATAGGACAACAGTTAAAAAAGGAATGAACAAATTTATGGGATAAAAACAACAACAAAAAATCAAATGTAATTGACAGATGGAAAAGATGTGCAGACATAAGGATGGTAAAGCAGTGTGCAACCCTACTGAGAACCCCACTGAGTGTGTCTCATGTTTTAACATTTAATCCTCAAGCTGAATTGCTACTGATTTTAGTTAAGTAATACAGACGCTATATGAAACCGCAGCTTTATATCCATGAATGAAAAATAACATGATCATGCAATTTAAAGTTTACATTGCAATGTAAATGGAATCAGAATTGTAATGCTTCATAGGCTGTATTTCCACACTTCCCATATTTGAAGAGTTTTTTAAGAGCTTGCACTTGTAATGTCTTCAAATTTTGGATGCAATTTTCTATTTTAGAAAGCTTCCTATGTGATCAAAGTTCTGGTATTTTTCATCTTTTCATTAAACCCCTAACCCTGGCTGTTTCTTCACCTTTGCCTGCTCTCTCCCAATATGTGATGGAAAGCAGAAACTTTTACCTCCTCCCACTTCTGTACTCTTTCTTTTTTCCACGGAGAGTCTGATTGCTCTCTACATGCCTGCCAGTCTATTCTTCCTCTGCAGAGGCACAGAAGGGACAGGAATGCTCGCCTCTGCTCCTGACTGCAGTGCCATGCTGACCCTGGCTGCCCGAGGGAGGAATTTTGTTGCAGAGCTTTCTGAGCCTCAGATTGCTGTAGCTTCTCAAAGAAGCTCCCTAACAAAATGTGAAATGTGGTCTCCCAGAAATGCTTAATTCAGCTAAATGTTGTGCAAGCATATTTTAGGGATTACAGCTACCTCACTAAATTTGATACAGTTCTTCCAAGATTAAAGCAAAACCAAGTCTTAACAATTGAATTGTAAAACTCATCTCCCTCTTTCCCTCACAAATAGAACCAGTTTTAACCAAAGTCTTCAAAACATTCTCCGTGAAAGATCCAGCATAGAAAATGTCAGTATGAAAGAATGATGACAAAGGGTAGAATGACCTTTGTGGCAGGCATTGCTATATGCATTCTAGTGCTACTTGAAAACATGGATATGCCTTCTTTTTAATTTTTCTTTTAATAATTACAGCAGTTCATTACTCTCCTACTAACAATCACCAATGCCAATAGCTGTGGGTAGACTCTACTGCTGCTTAAGTTACATTAATATTTGACTTGGAAATCATCTACTTCTAAACAGCAGAATTTTTACAATAAGATAAAAATGCATAATAAAGCTCAAATCTGTTTGAAATCAAAATCCCATACATCAAATTTAAAAGTTACAGAGAACTTACCGAATAGTTCGAAGAGGAATGTGCACCTTCTTCTCAATAATATCGTAAAGCAGTTTGTTTCTTAAAAAAAGTTGAGTTGGATTAAGCATTAAATATTCAGTAAAGTGTTTTCAAGTATCTACATGGTCAGAAAATAAATGGAAGACAAGAAAAGCCTCAGTTCTGTTAGAACTGCTGCAATAGCTGAAAAGTTTCTAGAATGCATAAACTAAAAGCCCAAACCCACTGAAAATGGTCTTTATTGTTCAGTTACAAAAGTATGGCTAAATCATGGCCCATTCTATAGCAAATCACTGTAGAAGGTTCATTTTTCCCACTGAAAGTTACTGGTAGGTTTCTAGAGATGCAATTGTTGATGTAACAAGTGGCTTAGAGTGAGGAAAGTAAGCCAACAGTGCTAATTGGAGTTTATCCAGCTATTCTGTAAGGGGAATATCTGAAGCCTTCAAGTTTGACTTCTTCCTGAAAACCTTTCATTTAATGGGAGAAAATCTAAACACAAAGGATCTCTACTTTTTTCTACCTATTTGTATGCAGTATCAAGATGTATCCAGAAATGGATAAATTCTTAACATCCCTTAACATCCTCTTCAAGACACCCATATGTCAGTTCAGAAATTACTGCACCTCATGTTCAGGCTTACAGTGCAGGAGAAAAATGCATTAGAAACCAGTTGCAGCAATTCAGAATGCTGCCCTCCTCTAGACATCTTTTCTGAGCTCTCTGAAGGAGATTTTTATGCCCAAAGCAAAGCTGTTTGCTACATGGAAGGAATCACATCAATGCTCCCTAACTGGCCACAGTCCAGTGTGAGCCAGGCTCAATCCATACTCAGCTCCAGTTTGAGAAATGTTTTGGCAAAGCAGTGAGATACTGATGTGGTAGCAGTGACATCTTTAGCCTTCACAGACCTGGAAGCTGCTGTCCATTCACATCTTTTAAGATGTTTAAGAGGCCTGATACTTTGTTTTATAAAACACCAAAATTTCAAACTTTAAACAAAAGCTAATGTAAAACTTTCAGCTTCAAGGATACTTTAAGCACAACTAGAGAGGACTACAGCTTCTGACAAAATACTGTCAGGAGAGGAAGGACAAACTTTAAACAGAAAACACTTTTAAAATATGCAGAAAGCAACATTATTTAAGAATCTCTATATGGTTGCTTAATGACAAAAACTCTGAACAAACAAATAGACACAAATTTATTTGCAAAGTATTAAAAAAAAGGAAGCAGCTGAAACTCCTTTCCAGCGTAACAGTAGTGTACTGTACAAGCTGCAAAACCCCATGTATCCATTTAACACTGCTGATTTAAACAAAAGCAAACATAACAAAATATAAACCAGATAATTTAGCAAGCAGTACCTGAAAGCTAGAGATTCCAATATAGCCCGAACAAGATGGTTTCTGTTAGTGGAAGGTTTCAGGCCCATGAAAGAGGCACATAAATATGGGTCATCCCCAGAAACCTGCAGAAAAGATGTCACCATGAGTTCAGTGAATTGTATTTGTAGACCCTTGTGAAAGAAGTTAAAGAGTAAGAAAAAAATGACTTACGACAATTACACGCAGCATAGTGAAAGAAGAAAATTGAGAACAATATGTAAGAGGTATATAGAGTTATTTTAGCTTACTCAGTGAACAGTTTAAATTGCTTCTTTCAACAGCAAAACGTTTAAGTGACTTCTTCCAAATCAGACAAACTAAAAAAGTCTAATCCACATAATTTCTCTTTAAAATACATTTAAAGTGTACACTAAATACCTAGGACAGGGCACACTCAATATTACTGATACTGCTGTTCTCTAACCAGAATTCACACACACCCTCTCTTGAACTCCTGAAAAAGAGAAGAATTGACTTTCAAAAGTAATACTGAAAAGGACAGTATTACTTTTTATTGCTTATGCTACAGCCTGTTATCAGTGACACTGAAGGAAGCTGGGCTATCTGGAGAAGAAATTAAGTTGTTCTTTGTTTTGTTCCATTAGTATGTAGAACTTAGACAAAGGTAAGGTAAAGATGTTAAGTTTCTTCATAAAAAACACTAGTCCTGGGAATGATCAAACTGAGTATGGCTAACTCATTTAGCAACACACTGAGAGATGAGCTTGTATCACTGAAGGCTAACTGTCATTTAAGACTTCTAAGAGAGAAGTCTATTTTACTGAGTTTGATCATTCCAAGGAGAAGTGCTTAAGTATTATCTTTGCTTTTCATAACACCAGGACTTGCAATCTTGCTAGTATTTAGATACTTTTAAATATTTTGATAAATTACAACCTACACCTTGAAAAAGGCAGAATAAAATCAATTATTTTAGAACAGTGACTAGAAGTATTGTCTCAATGAAAGCTCTGCACTTCATAGCAGAAAAGCTGTGACATTCATTTGTGTCTCTGCAGGCAGTGCCTGTGTTACTGGGGGAAAATTAGTTTATCTGTCCATCACTAATTCTCCTATTTGGTAGAGTTTTTCTCAAGGGGAGGAATGGCATTTAACCATTCTGATATGACAATGGCCTTCATTTATCATGATGAGCTACAGACAATAAGAACCTCAATAGGACAGAATAAATACTGTGATAAGATGTAAGTTTCTACCATTAAAAATGTAAATATTAATTTTAACTGGATTATTAAAATATAATCTTGATTTTACTGTTAATAATAATTTTACCTGAAAACCTGGAATGAAACAAACACCTTGAGAATCAGCAGTACTCTGCGCCATTTCTGCCGTTTCATCTACATTGGTGAAAAGTTCTGTAAAGATATATGTTGTACAATGTTATTATTTCCTTCGATTTCTTCATTTTGTCCCACTAAGAGAAAAAAATCTAGAGTCAGACTACTCCTTTTGTAATATTTTCAATCTACACATTCTAAGGAAAACACTCTCTTCTCCTCTATTTCACATCCATTAGTCATATCAATAATCCCAAACTATTCAGGTGAAGGCTAAACACAAAAGGATTCTCTCCTGTCTGCTGTGCTGCAGCATTTTAATCTTCAAGACATAAATGGGAATTAAGAATGATAACGGCACACTAAGAGTGCTAAAACCTTAGATTCATAGAACATATTTTTTCCCTTCATGTTGCTACTGTTAGTCCATCCACCTAATAACTACAAAGTCCTTAATACCTATATTTTATCAGCATCCTTAGTATCTTAACAAGTGACACATAAGGTAATAGATCACCTCTTATCACAATAATGCCTCTTGGATAGACACTGCTTTTATCCTCTGTCCAGCCAGACGAGTCCTTTTATAACTCTACAGACATTTCTCTTCACCCACATGCAACTCTTGTACTAACATCCATCTTCCAAAGCTGTAACTAATGATGTCCTTATGTGGCCATGTAACATGATTTTACAGAAGACTAGAAGTCTCCTGTAGATGAGATCTATTGCTTTTTCTTGAATAAAAAAGTAAATTTTCCTATTAAAGGTAAATTAGTTTAATCTAGCTCAACTTACCCATCTTGGTAACTCATCAGGACTTTCACTTTACCTTTGTAACCTTTATGAATTGTGGGAAAACTATGGATTCTACTCTGCTCAGACTAATAAACCTCAATCACATTTTTTCCTTTTTGTTGTCTTTGCTATTACTGAATTATATATATCGTACCTGTATGCCAAGACAGAAAATCAAAAATTAAGACTGACTTCAGGCTGAAATTCCACACACTACTTCCTCAAAATTCTTAGAAGTTACATGATTCCAGTAAAAGAAGTCCACTAAACTAAGTTTGCCCTGCTGCAGAAATTACTATTTCCAAACTTTTACCACTGTTTTGTCTTATCTTCATCCATTGTTGAGCCTCACCACCCTTATTGAGGCCATTGGCTTACCTTGTATTTTGGCCCAATTCCTTCTGTAGAGCTGAAGTTTCTCCATTCTCTAAAGCTGACAAAAGTTTCTGAATTCTACTCCTCTACAACAGTATTTTCAGAAAATATAGGCCTTACTTGTTACAGAGTTTAAATCAGCCTGCCTTTTATTTATCCCACCTCTAAAACTTCCCCCCCCCCCTTTTTTTTTCTATGGTAGCAACTGTAGGTCATGATCATTTTACTACTGACTAGCTAAAAATCCTTTATGCTTCTGCATATATCAATGATACCCATTTTAAGTACAGGTAAGTTCCATATGGATAATTACCCATTTTAATTATGGATTCTGAAGCAGCAAGCTTATATATGTAGCAGTGACACTTGAGTCCACAGCACTGAACTGAGTCATTTCCTCCAAAGCCTTGTGGCTGTTACTCTCTAAGCTTAGTCAAATGTTGAAGATGTGACGACCAATCTGAGTCACAGTGAACCTTTAGGGGCACATACCAGAGCACATACATGTACATATGCACCTAAAGCTGATAGCTTCAAGAAACGTGGAATTTTGTGGTGAGTTACACTTGAGGAAAACCCTTCCCAGACAGTCCAAAGTTTGAGACACTAATCAGTTTTTTCTCATCCTAGTAAAAATGTACTAAATTTCTAAGCAAGCCAAGTAAATTTTGAAGTTCTAATTAGAACCAAGAACAGTTGTCCTATGAACAATCAGTGGGTTTGAACATCAACTACTACAGACATAGTATCTTTTTAGTCTGTCATTAAACTGGAAAGGAAAACCTTTCATTACAAAATAGTAACAACAGCCAAAAGGCACATTACTTCCACGTGGAGCAACATACTGTTACTTGCAAAGTTCTTCATGGTGCTTTCATATACATCGAACCTGTTATTAGTTATGAGATGTACAGCTCAAGACTTCTCAAAAGCAAGTGAGGAGTAAGATGTTTCAGGAAAATAAAAGCCTAGTTAGGCAGGATGGTCTGAGGCAGAGATGATTGTGCAAACCAAACTCCCTGTAGCAAACATACTCAGCAGAATACCTACAAAAAAGACTGTATATTTCTACTGTCCAAAGAATGCAGACTACTTCCTTCAATTACGAATAATAAAATTAAATTGACATAACTATGAACCCATAAAACAGCTTCTTAAGCAGTTATATATTTCACCCTCTATAAAATTAAAGAACTTACCTATATCCTGAGCCCATTTTATGGCAGTGCCAATGTCCGATATAGAGCCTTCAGTTAAGTAAACAACTTCTTCCCCAATCTTCCAACCGATCAGTGGATAAAGACCTTAATTATTTCCCATGAAACAAAACAATCAGTTAAATTAAATGTTTCCAGAAAAACACAAACAAACATTCCTCACAATGAACCCACCTAAAAAATATATAAACTTTATTCAATTCCTTTGTAGAACTCAAGCTAAAGAAGTCACTGATAGAGGTTAAATGTGCTGTCTAAAACTTTAGTGATGGTATTACAAGAGAACTGAGCAACAGATTGTTAGACAAAAGTTAACCTAAAAAATTGCTATCAAATTACAAAAAAAATACCTTTAATCTAAAGATCTATCTGTGCTTATTTTTATTTTTTATATAAGAGATTGTGCATACCTAAAAAGTTATCAATGCTTTTCTATTTAAGTCCATCCACCCTTATGCAAGGGTTTCTAAAAAGTAAGAGTGTTTTTCCCCAAAACATAAAGCCTGAAGGCTTGACTCTCAGTTGGGAAACACAAAACTGAAACAGACATATATACACAAAAAAAAATAACACAAACTTAGAGCACAGATCTTACTCACAGAAGAGGATGAAAGTGATGTACTTTTAATTCTCTGTTTAATATGCAATGCTTCCTCACACAGAAAGCAAAGAAGAAAACAAGTTTCACCTACACTGCAGCTAAAGAAATGACTTTTCAGGTCACTATAAGAGAACCCAAATAGTCAGTGGTCACTGCAACAACTTCACCCAATCAAGTACAGTAACTGCTGGAGTGAAGAAAGCACCCAGACTTTATGAAACCCTGCTCAGGACCCAGAAATCACAGGTAATGCAACAAAAGTAAACGAGTCCCATTGTACCTTTACAAGGACGAGAAAAACATCAGAAGGATCTAGGGGGTCTCTCTGCTTTCTCAAAGTGACTCTTCTGATGTGTATGTTCCTCACAGAATCATCTCCAGTTTGCTTGCCTGTGTCCAAATGAATTGTGTGGGAGTACCAGTGCAATTGCAGAAATTTGTTTTAGTGCTGGAGGCACTCTGGTGCTTATGATATAAAATCATCAGCAGCACTGATTAAAGTCTGTACTTGTCTGTTGAAAGGGGAATGTAACATATCTTAATCCAGATCATCCATGTAGGTGTCCCTCAAAATCCTTGTTTTTTACCAAAGGTAAAGCCACAAATAAAAAAGCCCAAAAGACTGAGCCACAGATCCTAAAGAAGTGCAGCTAATTAAGGACAGAGACATCCATCCATCACGTTGCCTCCCTAAAGATGCTCACACCAGAGTCTCTAGCTATGTAACATAATCATACCTCTAGGGAAGGGATCCCCATGACACTTTACATGACCAGAGGTATTAAGAACCCTCAGGCTACCAGAGGTACCTTTTAAACCTATACAACATAATTCCATCACTGAATTGTGAGGCAGGTTGTTCTTGAAGGAACCACTTTATTTTTCTTTTTTTCAAATTCTTATATGTAGGAGCTAAATGTTGACCAGAAACAAGAACAGCAGCTAATGAATAGCTTGCACAAGGATGCTGCAGGGATTCATCTTGCAGTCTTAAATACATACGACAGCTTTAAAAATTGAACACATTTCATGTCCACGGCACTGAGAAAGCCAGGCACTTAACTTGTCCCACTAACCATACCCCACACAGCCAAAAGACACAGGGAAAATAATTTTAACATAAGTAACAGCCTAAAGCAGTAAAAGTTCCACAGCACTGCCTTAGAAGATTTTAACTCCTACCAGAATACAATAGCTAAACTGAAAAACTTTACAGCATGTTTTTTGCTATTGCATTTTACTGGACTACATATGTATTATTTCCTAAGTAAAAATATCATAATAATGACATAATTAATTAGCATAAAAAGCATTTGCATTCATAGGAAATTCAATGTCTATGCTATTCAGTTCTGACACATCTCATGTATTTTCCAGTGTTCTTCAAGACTTGAGCTGGTAAAACTCTCTTTAGCACACTGTTGTCCTCTTTCCCAGCCCCACCCCATTTTAAGCATAAGACATCCTGAAATTAGTAACTCTTCAAAAATATGACAGACAGAGAGAGACTGTGTAGGCAAACTTACTTCAGTATGATGCTCAGTGTTGCTCTCTTGACAAATAGCTATCTCTGACAAATTAACAAACTTGACAGACCACAGATGTTCAGAATGACTAAGTTTTAAACACTAGAAACACACTGGGGAGCCCATTTTAAAAGAAAACTATTAACTTCTAACCCTACATTATCTCACTGCAGGTGCTTCAATGCATAAGGGCTCAAGGGGAGGAACTTGCAATGATTCACTGCAATGTTTTGATCTAAGAAGCCAGAGGACCAATCCTTTTTTTCTCCAATCCTGTACAATACTGCAATGAAGAACAAGTGAAGGAAAAAACAAAACAGGAGGGATGCAGATATAATTACTAATCATGCCACTTAAGTTCTCTTCCTGAGAAGCTTACTTTAGGATAATCAATATTTACATTACTGATAAAAATTTTCCACAGTCTTCTCCTCTGAAAGAACTCCCAAGCTGTTTTTCTACACCTATAGACAGAAGAAAAAGCACAACCCTGTTTTATTTTGTGTACCCTAAGCATTAAGAGCTAAGAAGGAACAGCCAAAAGAATAAAATCCCCTAAAAGCAAAACTCTGCTGCTGTCTTACTTCCCTGTGATGCAAAGAGCTGCTCTCCAGTATTCACATTCCAGAAACCACCTGTTCCCATTGTCAGTTTAACATCTCCTGGGTGAAAGCAGCATTCTCCAAATGTAGCTGACTGCTGATCAGCTACCTGTCAATCCAACAAAAACAATGGAACATGTTAGCTCCTGACTACCAACTTGCAATGCTGGGTTTGAAAATATCTCTGTACTGTATAAGTAAAGAACACTTTGTATTTTATTGTATTTATTGTATAAGAACATTTTGGCATTCTGAATACAAGTAACCACTTAGGAACTGAGCATTCAGAGAGGACTCTTTAACAATTTCTTAAGTATTTGCATTACAACAGTAAGACTTAAAACTGGTATCAAATCACACCAGGTTTGGACACAATGTGAATGTCTGTAGTATTGCTTGCAACACTGAAAAACATTATGGAAATAAAAGAAGTATTTTGTGGTTTAATATTTAATAAGGATAAACAGGGCATTTACAATCCCAGAGAGCAGAACAGAGTAGCTTGGCCTGAATTCCTTTTTTCTCCAAATAGAAAGTTGAAGCTTTGAGGTCTTGGCTTTCTTTTTCCTGGATACCCCTTCTATACCAAATTATTCCATTTCCAACATTTCCATTTTCCAACAATGATGATGGTTATTAAATGTATTTACTTATGTTTTTGCCTTGGTGACACAGTAAATTTACAGCTAGATTTAGTCCAGTTCTTTAAAACTAGACAAATTCATGTTAGCTAAGGGAGATTTTTTAAATTTAGCTAATTCAAGCAAGTTTTGCTCCAAATAGTCACTTCAGGTTTTCTTATCCAAATTCTAACTAGAGGAAAGAGCATGTCATTTGCCACTTCTTTTTAGTGAAAAATAAAAAAGGATAAAAGGTATCACAAATGGATCTATTAACAAATACTCTTACAGTTGTTCAGTCCTACTGAAATCAAGACAGAATGGACTCTTGTATAACTTTATACAGAACAACTGATTTTAAGCCAGAAACATGAATTAGCAGAGCTTAAATTCCTACATTCAGAATTGAACCATTTGATCACACAACCTTAATACAGCTCAGCCTCTTGCTCCTTTCTCCTCCTTCCCCCTAAAGTTGTATACTGGGTTTTTGGCGAAAAATTAAACAATCAATTCCATTGCAGTAAAGTCAGAGAGAATGAATAGAGGAATAGGAATGAAAGAAGCAAGTGCTAGATCAGAACCAAATAAATAGAGTATAAACACACAGATTTAAGAAAATATTTTCACTTACCACTGCCATTATTGGAATAGGTATCCCAAATATTTCAGAGTCAGTTGATCCAAAGTTGAAGCTTAAAACAAATCACATTAAAATGACCTTTTTGTTAAAATGAAATCTAGGTACATACAGCCTGGGTTTGGATCACATGTAATAGCTAATGCTACTGATTTATCACTTTTAGAAATACAGTAAAAAAAGTATTGGATTTCGTATACTTTTATAGAAGGTATAATTGCATATAAATTATTTTTGTGTACCTGTGTATTATTTGGCCTATGTAGAATATTTTGTATTTCTCAATTAATCATAATTAACCAATTAATTTAACAGTTGTCTTATTTTTTAAATTATGCCTTCACGGTTACCTTGTGTCTTTCACTGGTGGATAAACAGACATTGGAATAGAAAGTAGATTAGACAAAGTGGGATTCCAACATTTCTGAAATGAAATTGAAAAAGTAAAAACATTAGCAACCCTCTGAGAAGCACAATAAATAGCAACAACATTCTTTGTGAACAGCACATACCGTAAAGGGTTCAAATATGCCTGTAGAACTGGCATTTGAGTAATCTGTAGCATACACAGAACCTAGCATGAAAAGAAACAGAACAAAGTAAGATTTTTAGACATCCAAACATTTAAGAGTTTTCTTTAAACATCTCATTGGCTCCCATGAAATAGAAATCAAGTGTGTATGAGTAAAATCACAATGATACAATGAGCACAGAGATTGTACCTGCTGCTCACTATAATGTGCACACATTAATTACCCCATTTCCTCTCACACTGTTTCTGTCTAGAACAGCCAACAGCACCACACCAACTGCATCACAATCATAATCTGACTCCTCACGCATTAGTCCTCAGGAAAGAAACTTGTAATTCTTCAACATTAGTAACAATGCTTTGCTCTTTTGCTTTCACAGGTACTTTTCTTCAATCAACACCAACTAGCTCTGTTAGTCCTCTTTAAATCTTATACTCTTGGAAGGCTGATTACACTGAATAAATATTTCCCATCCAAGCAGGCCCAAAGGATAATTAATTCCGAAGTTCTTTTTGTAACAGTAAATACATGACAATTTTTGTTGAATATACAAAAGCACAAATTGCAGAAAAAGTATCTGAATTCTAAGATATAGAAATGACAAATAATTAACATAATTTATTAGATTCCAGTGTGTTTTACTGATATTTAAGAGGAACTGTAATGTTCACCTTTAGTCAATCTATACAGTAACCACGTGTCAACCGTTCCGAAACAGCAGCTGTTTTTTTTGGCAGCTTCTTCAGCCTGGGAAAAAATGTACATGAAAAAAATTAATATTTACAATTGGGTGCAATAAGAGAAACATATTTATTGATATCTTTTATTATATTCTTCATTATTAATCAGAATGCCCTCAGAAAATAAGTCTCTGATTGTAAAGTTTTCCTCTAAAAAGGCTGAGTTGGCTATTTAACTAATATTATCCTACAAGTTCATGCTCCTAACAGAAAATAAGAACACTTTCTTACAGCTGCTGCTAAGGGAAAGAAAGCAATTAATCTTCTATGAACAAATTCTTTCTGGTCCTTCTGAGAACAAGCAAGACAAAACTGAAGCAATTACAGCTGATAGTCACACAGTCATGGAATGGCCTGCACTGGAAGGGACCTTGAAGAGTTCCAACACCACAGCTATAAGAAGGGACACCTTCCACTAAACCAGGTCACTCAAAGCCCCATCCAGCCTGGCCCTGAACACCTCCAAGTCACAAGTCATCATTATGACTCAAGAAACCTATTGTTTTTCCCTTTCCAGCTTACCTCATGTATATTTTTAAAAACCCATGACAACTTCATAGAAGTTTGATGTGTTGAAAAAGTAAGAAAACTGGGTGCCAAGTATCGATCATTCCCAGTGAAGAAATGAAGCACAGTAAAAATAACATGGATTACCTGTTTCAAAAGAAAACAGTTACTTAATTTTTAATCTTGCCCTTGAAACGTTACTGATCAATTACTTTTAAAGGATGACAACACAGATGAAAGCTGCTGACATGAGATTAGATTCAGAAGGCTAAAACTTCTTTAGAGGATCCTTCCGTAGGATTATGTAAGGATCTTCCTATCAACAGGCAGCCTTCCTGCAACACACACCACAGGAAAGAGCAGCTGCTCTAAGCAATGCTGCTTTAGCACGTTCTGCTGGAGCACTGACAGCCACTGCTCTGCATTGCCAACACCAGTCACCTATGTGAGCACAATGCATAATGTGGCTGACAGCATTACATACTGTCAGTCTAGTGGAAGTTCTCTTACAGTTGATAGGTTCACTCATGACTTAATAGATTTACCAAAATTTAATCATTCATCGAGTTTTCACAAAAGAAGTAACTGGCTAACCCAAGAATTTAACTTCTTATTGTGACTGTGCTGGTTAGTTAACACTTAGAGGAAAACTAACTTTTCCAACGCAGACCTGCCTACATCCAAAAATCTATGCTGTAGTAGTGCTAATATGCAACATTTTATTAGACTAAAAAGCAACAAAATGAGCCTCAGACCTACATGCATTTTTTCCATAATAATTACTTTAGGATATCAGTACTGAACTTTTTTCTTGGTATTATCTTCCATGCTAATATTGCTCAGTTAAATGTTTTTAGACAACAGCCCATCACATCACCATGTGAACAGGACACTTGCAGTATTCCATATATTGCCCTTACTTGTCATAAAAGTTAAACAGCTCTAATATATCAAATCAGAATCTAAATTAGCAGAGTTTTACCTTCAGCAGAAGGGAATTATTCCAGGAATTCACAAGTTCAGCACTTCTTAAATCTTGCCAACTTATGAAATTATGAAAGGGTTTCCCTGTCCTCCTGAAAAACAATATTTGAACGTTTAGAGCTAGATAACTCAAAATGTCCAAAACATTCAACATTATTTACCATTTCCAATTCAGAAAAATAAACAGATTAGTTCCTATAATAAATGCATATCCTCCTGGTGGATTTGAGGAATTACTAAATCAGCACACAGACATTTGCACTGTCAGACTTCTCACCAGAATTAAAAATACAAATGTATTCATCTCTTCCAATGTACAAAGAAGAAAAAGGCCACACACAATCTGTTCTGAACAGCTCTAAGGTGTGGCTGTGCAAACACAAGAGAACATGAGTGAATTCAACACTTCTACAGCCTGCTTCCATCCAGTCTGTGAATGCAAATGAATACAAATTCATTTTAAACAACACACAACATACATACTTGTGCCATGTAATGAAAGTTCCTCTCTGGGTGGAGATGCCAAGCCCAGCAATTTGCCTCATGTGAAGTCCTGCAGCTAAAAACCAAAAATAAATTACAATCACAAAAAAGGTATTTATTTGGAGAAACAAACAAAAATGTAACTTCTTCAATATAACTATAAAACCTGTGGAATACTCAAGAAAATAATAGTTTATGAGAATATGAATCTGTACAAATTGTTCAGCTGTTCAGAGCAGTGAAACATTAGAGAGCTCTGAGTCAGACAATTGATTCCAAAGCAGATAACCAAACCTATGTATTTTCCAAAAGCTGTTGTGGCACACTGACCCTTTCCACCTTCTGAAAGGCCTGTTGATACTTAATATGAACAATCCCAGATATAGGTAGGCAGATTACATATGCCTACATAATCAATTAAAATGTATATTTCACATGGATGAATGTGAATGAAAGCACCAACGACAGTACTTTTACAGACTTAGGGAAAAAAATTCTATAAAGAAACAAAACTAGATTGATCCTGCAGGCTATGACTTTCTGCATCACTTTGATAATGACATGTCTTACTTTAAATATTTCTTAAGCAATGTTTCAAAATTCCTAAGAATAAATTTGCTTAAACCAGACTGCACTGAATGCAACAAAGTATATTTTAGTCAGAAAAACAAAAATGTACATTTGGATATATACCAATTTTGCCATTAAACCTTATCTTCAAATAACTGTTACAGAACATTTTTTCTAATATAAGTGTAAATAATGAAATATGTCCACAGCTATTTTCAAAGCAACTCTGATCAGCTTCCTATTTACCTCCAGCCACACTTACAAAAGCAAAATTACATGAAGAAAATATACATTAAAAAATTTCCACTCAAATGACTACCCACCCAGGTCAGGGTGGGTAACAGAGTACTGTTACTCTGAAGGGCACTCAATCCAGATCCTTGAACAAATTACAGGTTAAGTAGGTCTTGCCCATATGTGTTCTCATGTTCATTTTCACGTGCAAAGTTGCTCATTTGTGTGAGCACGTCCTGCAGACTCTACACCCAGCACCCTGTCAGCAACAATTACAGAAGAGGTTTCACAGAGAAAGGGCACCTTTCCTGCGCTGCCCAGCTCTACGTGTACTTCTGCACTTCCCCTTACACTGGGTCCTTGCATTCCTGCCAGCAGTGCTATCAATTCCTCAATCAGCTGAAAATTAAACCAGTGCTTTCGCAAGACAACCTGCTCCACCTGCCTGCACAAGTGCTGCTGGTAGCAGGAGGGCACAGGAGGAGGACGTGGGAGTGGGTGGCCTGAGAACAGCACTATTTCTTTTTCAGTCAAAGCCATACAAGCACTTGCACAGCTCACTAAGGACTAGTGGCATGTGTTACGCCTTCCCATCCCCACAATCTGGTGGAGTGGTCCCAACACTTTCCCTGTGTTAGCTATCGCGCTCTCTAGACACCCACATCAGTGGAGCTAACTTCCATTACAGACAAAAACAAACCTAAAGACAAACACAGATATTTTTCAGTAAAGCTGTCTTTTGGATGGAGTGCCACAGTATGAGACAGAGTTGGGACCGTGCAGCCAGAAGTTTCCACCTTTAGGTAGTACTGAACTACAGCAGCTCATCCAACTACAGCAGCTCATCCACACCTGCATGGAATCATATGTTTAGCTCTGCAAGCCCTGCAAACCCAAGTGTCAGTGTGCTCCTTCTGCTTCCAGACAGCCATTCCTGGCCCTGCCACCACACCCTCTCTTGCGTCAGCACAAACACTGGTGAAGCTCTGCTGGCATAAACAACCAGACAGTGATTTGACTCAGGAAACTGCCCTAGACTAGAAACAACTCCGTAAAAAAAGGGGTGGCACCGCTCCTTTTGACAGCACTGTGAGTTATGCTTTCTTACACACCCACTTAAAAATGACTGACAAACAATGTGTGCAGTTTGGCCACAAGGAAATCTTTCCTTTTTAAAACTAGCTGAAAAGTCTTGCTTCCTGATTTGTCCTACAGAATCGAAATGAAAAGGAAGACAGTAAGGTCTTTGGGGGATGAGGTGGCATTGCTGTCCTTGTGACCAAATGGTTGTGGCTGCTGACAGAACAAACCAAGAGCCCAAAATAATCAGCTTCAGCTTACACCTGGTGATATTTACAGCCTTCCAAAGGAAGGGACAAGCAGTTTTGCCATGAGCCATGTCTGGAGGCAGAGCAACACTGGAGACTAAGCAAGAGGGGCTGAGCAGGAGGAACTGAATGAATTGAATGAAAGAATGCAATTTTCACACACAGGCCAAGGAGGCTGGAGCACTGTGGGAAGGCAATCTGGGGTCGAGTTTACAGGGTCACAGCACCAACATGGCACAGAAGGTGATCCAGGATTGATGGCAGAACACTGGATTAACATGAAAGCTGTGAGAGTTGTAGAGAAATAGAGCAGCATCCAGAAAAGTGGGGGGAAAAAACCCATCAGAGGTTTGCCAAAAAAAGGAGTTGTATATATTCAGTGTGTGGAACACTAGGAATTTTTAGGCTAAACTACAAATAGAAAAGAACAGTAATACAGGAATAAGGCAGCAAGAACCACTTAAAGGTGAAATGGGAAAAGCAGGAATATTGGGTTGCAATTGAGTGAGCACAGCTCTGCAGCATCCTGCACTCATTCTCTCACACACTCACACATACAAAGTGGCGGTGGAACAATGGGGCACTGGAAGGGGAACAAGCCTGCTCTCTGTTTCTGCACACAGGCATGTGGAGGAACAGACACTGGGGAAGGATGCACACACAAAAAGCTGGAACAACAAAGTGCTGGCACTGATGCGTAAATCAAGTACTCACATTGCTTCTGCTTCTAGTTCAGTCCTAATCTGACCCCAGTGAAAGGAAAAAGGTAGTTACAGTACCCTATCTTAAAACATGTTGTAGACCTGCACCCAGTGATGATTTTCAGCACTAGCTAAAAATAGTTTTATTATCCAAATAACTAACTTTACTGATTTTGATAAATAATTTCTCAAAGTTTAAGCCATTACCTTGTACAGCCTCTTTTATTACACCAGTAAATTGACTCCATAGCACTTCAGGATCTAATTCAACCCATCCAGGACGAGGATAAAGTGATTCTACCTATTTGGGAAACAGAAATAGCATTATTACAATCCCTAGTTTACAGAAACCAGCAAATACATTTGGGTTTGGGTTGCTTTGTTCTTCAGTTTGTGAATCTCCTGTAAGAGTAGAAACAACAGTATGACTTTTAAAACATAGTTCAACATGTGTGTGTGATCTCTAGAAGACCTCCTTTGTTCATGAGGTCAAATCCCTTGAAATAAAGAAGTCCAAACCTCTTGGAATAAAGGAACCTGTAAAACCCCTTTCAGAGCTGCAAACAGGAAAGCAGGTGTCTCAGAAAGCCGTTTCTGCTGCACTTCTTAATTCAGATGTCGATGCCTCTGAGCTTCTCAGTGCCAGCACAGCAGGCCAGGGATCACCTGCCAGACGAGCTTCCAGCGACAGGGAGGGTCAGCTCCACCGAGAGAAGCCCCTTCCACCTCCGAAATCCGTCAGATTTCTTACACTTCCTCTCGCTGCAAGATTTTAATTGCAATAGGTAACAGTAAAAAAAATTAATTCTGGAGATTGCCTTGATCACGAGCCGTACGAACCAAAAGTAGCCTGAAGTTCATGTGCTAAGGTTGACACTTTCACATGGCCGTTACACGGTGAGACGCGTGTAAACACAGGTCCTACGCAAATCTCAGCTATGCCCTACTAACAAGAGTGGTTTTGTTCAGAGATTAGTCGATAAGGGACCGAAGGGAAGGTAACCGGGAAAGGTGGGAGGGGGTGAGCGCCGAAGTAACGGGATGAGTGCTACGGCGCTCCCGCGGAGTTCGGGGGCTGTGGGTTTCTTTTCACCCTCGGGAGGGGGAGCCGCTCCTGCCCGCCCTGGGTCAGGGGATGCCGGGACCAGCCGAGCTGGGTGAGCGCCTGCCACGCCGAGTCCCGAGCCGGGCAACCCCCAGCTGCCTCTGGGGGGCCCGCAGCTCGGAACCGCTCGGGGCAGAGCGAACGCGATCAGCCCCGTCCGGCTCCCGATACAGGTGCTGCCCCCGGCTGCTCTCGCCGCTCGGCCCGGCTCCGGACCGGGGGCGCGCCACACAACGCGCCCGCACTCACCTTCCTGTAGCTGGAGCCCCTGATGGCGGCCGCCCGGTCGTAGACGTGGCACTTGACCGCCGTGCTGCCCACGTCC